ATGTAGTTTATTGAATTTATTATAGTCACAACTTACTATTACAATGTCAAATAAATAATGAAAGCTTAAGAAAATTTGGGAAAAAGGCAATATCTAATAGAGAAATAAGTATATGAAAAAATATATAGTTAAACATTTAAAATTTATCTAACTTTCCAGTTAATAGTAAATCACACACACATATATATATATATATATATATATCATAGACTCAAAAGTGTATATTGTTTGATTAAAAATCAGAATTATAAATATATATTGAATCACAATAATATTTCATTAATGAGAATCCTTTAATCTTACATAATTGATAATTTATAGTCACAGATTCACAATTACTATAAACAAACCCATGCATATTATAAATAGGTAGATAGTCTTAACCCAAAAATCAAACTCCTTGATACAAACACATTTGACAAGTAAATTTGTTTGTGTCTCTTAATACTCATAACAATGTTGGATCCAGAGAAACCATGGAGCATCCCTGTAGAGTTGACAGCATCAGACACAAGTTTAGGTGGTAGTGGTTCGATAACATTGCCTAAAGATTTACTAGAAACCCAATTGTTTCCTTTGTGGGGTGAGGCTCGAACCAAACGAGTAGTTGATGATAACTTGGAAGAACTTGTGAATGTTTATGATTATAATCTTAAAATTTCAACATATCTTAGAATGAAAAAAGACCAAGATGGGAATTTTAAATTACATGGTTGGGGTACTATTCTATTTGGAAGAAAATTCAAGGAAGGTGATACAATTGGATTTTGGTGGGACAAACATTTCAATAGACTTAATTTCAAACCATTGATCATGAGCTTTGTTTGAACAACTACTATGTCAATATCCGCAATAATGTTATAGGAAAAAATATATTTTATTATCAAAATAACTAATCCCATTTTCCTCTAATGATGATAAAGTTATGTGATTTCACAAACAGAGGATACATGACAACATTTCCAGAAATAATCATATCCCAATATGAATCAAAACTATAGTCTTAAAAATTTAAATAAAGTTCCAATAAAAACAAACAAAAACTCACAAGTAATTGGCTAACCATGGAAGATCTTTGTTATCCTTCAATGCAAAAGAAACATCATCACTTGGAAAATTTAGTTGCAGCTTCTGCAATCTGTGCCTCTCTCCAGGTTCACATAGAATGATTCTACATTCACCGAGATCGCAACCGATCTTGAGAAGAATGTCCCAACCCGGAAAAGCTTCTCCATTGTTTAAGCAAATAGAGGACACTGTCGTTGCCACTCTGTCGAATGTCGTCTCTGCCATTCCTGTTTTGTAAAGCTCGTGAACCATAGCAGTCAAGAAGATCTTACTCAGTTTCGATACGCTCTTCATTACTTGAATATGAGGTGCCTGAAACATTTCTTGGATTGCTGCTTCGACATCCGCCATAATCACCAGCTGATTCTTTGCGGTTTTGTTATTCTTTAGACGGTAATCCGCTACTTCTGCTGCACGCCTGCATATCTCAAGCGCACGTCTTGCATCTCCTGAAATCGCAGCTACTTTTCTCGAAGCAAACTCAATCGCTTGCTTTTCGAAAGCATCGATTCCTTTCAACCTTGTAGATATGATTTCTTGTAGCTGAGTGTGGTTATAAGGGCCAAAACACAATCTCTGAATACCCATTCGGCTTGAAATCCGAGGAAGCAGCTTCTCTGGAAGATCCATAGTGTTTGCTATGCCCAACACAACCAATTTGGAGTTAGGCTTGGTAGGCCAATCGAGAATGTTGTATAGAACCGACTGGTTTCTGGTGACTAGAAGATCAAGCTCGTCGATGAGAAGTATGCAAGGCTTTTCGTCATCTTTCCCAATCCTTTTTCCTTCTGCAAATCTCTCATTCAAAGAATGTAAAGCTTTCTTCCAATTTACACGATGGCCACTCAACGCTTCATAGATTACGGTGTAAATGTTCTCCGGTGAAGCTAATTTGAGACCATTGATCTCCACGAAGCAATACGGGCTTACGCTTCCCTCTTCAACCTCAGCCTTGAGATTCTTCATAACCGATAACACACTAATAGTCTTCCCAGTCCCAGGAACACCATGAATGTACATGCATCTTCCTAAACACTGATCATCTGATATTGAACCTTTTATAAACGCAGTGATCTCTTCCATTTCTTTGTTCCTACAAGGAAGAGACTTAGGACGTGTCGCCAACAACAAAGTCGATTTCGCTTTCTCTAATTCCGTCTGCTTATGACGTCTCACATGTTCAGGAATCCGCTTCGCTCCAACCTTCTCAAGCCCAAAGAAACGACCTTTCAAAGAATTCGCAGCTCTTGCAGTCGTTGTAACTCTCTTACTCTTTGAATCTCCACGAACATTCTCTGCATCGTCAAACTCGTTCTCTTCATCATCACTATCACACTCCTCTTCCTCCTCTTTCCTAGAGTTCCATTCTTGATCACTCTCGGAATCTCCATCAACCAATTCAGCCAAACGCTTGAAGCTATGCCAATGCACATCATATTCATACTCACACAAGAACACATCATCTCCATCATTACTCGCCTTTGAAAACTCCGTTGGACACTTAACAAAACAATGCCTAAGTATACATTCCATCTCAACATCCGCAAAATCATTCGTCAGATAAAGCTCGCGCTTCAGATTATGCGGTTGTCTCCCTGAAGCAGTCTCTTCAGGTATCATATACCAATGAGCTCGAATCCAATACACACCATTAACGTCTTTCCACAGTTTATCGATACGAGCAGCCCATAAATCACTCGAAAGAAGCTTCTCTCTTAATGTTTTCTTTACCTTTATCCCTTCCGGTGGCTTTGGAACGGTAAGAGTCTGATTCTGACCTGACTTACGAACCTCACAGAATTGACAGATCCAATCACCTTCTGGAACTTGTTTCAATGGTGGTTTCAAGCATTTCAAATGAAACCCACCTAAACAATCATCACATTCAATCATTACGTTATTACCTGATTGAAAGCAA